ATGATACTCAGATAAAAGCAAAGAATATTATAATCAAAAAACAATATGGAAATATCTTAAATAACAGTTTTATTGTTTCTTGTCAGGTACTATTGAAAATATTTTCATTAATATTTTAAAGCTTTCTTATAACAATCCAGTTTTCTGTACTTCTTTTGTTATTTCTTCTTAAATATTAACTATTACAAAATATCTTTTGTACATTTTTTTGATATTTCAGAAGGTCTTTAGGGCAGCAAACAAGTGGTTAAATTATTTTAATTCACTACCAAACAAGGGATATCATTGCTAATATCAGATGGGTCTTGGATGAAAACAAAGAATACTGGAAATATGTTTACTTGTGTTTTATTGACATGCTAAACCTTTCACCTTGGTGGACAATAACAAACTATATGACAGCCTTGAGAACAATGAGAATCCCCAAATACTACATTATACTCATGTGGAACCTGTACATGGAACAAGAGCCAATTGTGGGAACAGAACTAGGACATACAACATAGTTTAAAATCACGAAAAGTATGCATCAGGGTTACATCCTTTCACAATACATATTGATCCTGTATACTGAGCAAATAATCTGAGAAACTGATTTATATGAAGAAGAATGTTGCCTACCTAGGTTTATTAGCAACCTGTGATATGCAGATGACACAACCTTGCTTACTGAATGTAAAGGACTTGCTGATATAGATCAATAATTATAGCTTTCAGTATAGATTACAACTCAGGAAATCAAAATCCTCACAACTAAACCAATAGATAATATCATGATAAAAGGCAAAAAGATGAGGGTGACAATGATATTGTCTTGCTTGGATCCACACTCAATGCCATTGGAAGCAGCAGTCAAGATATCAAATGACACATTTCATAGGGTACATATGCTGCACAAGACCTCTTTAAAATACTGAAAAGCCAGCATGTTATTTTGAGGATAATTTAATTCATCATTGCAATTCATCACTTGATATCATCACTTCTGCTTCTGTGAGCATTGACAGGGTATCAAGAAAAATTATAACCTTGACAACTTCAATCTTTCATACATTTATTGTGATTTTATCTATTGGACCAGTAGTGAAGATTTTGGTTTTAGTTACATTGACTTGCAATCCATACTGAAGGCTGCAGCTCTTGGTCTTATTCAGTAAATTCTTCATGTCTTCTCTCTTCTCTTTCTTCAAGCAAGGCTTTGTTATTTGCATATAGCATTTTGTTAATAAGTCTCTGATTTTGTTGCAGCGTTTTTGTGCAGCATATTTGCCTAATGCAATGCAGCCTTTGGTTTTTTGACCACTGATGTGTGTGTTTGTGTGTGTGTGTGTGCATGTGTGTGAGTTATAACAAACTTTCCATGGTGTCAATTTTGACTCATATGAGATTTATGTCTCCTGAGTTGTGACTGTTGGGGTAGAAATGATAACCTTGTGATTAGAGGATTACATCTAACCATAGCAACACATGTTACATAATATATATATATATATGATAAGACACCTGCATGTTGTAACCACCTGGATTTCTTAATATTATCATCTTTTAGTCAACATGTCCCTTTATTATTTTAAAGCCAGACAATATTATTTCACTGTGTAGACATTTTAACATTCTCTTTCTATCATGAATTTACAACTTTACACAATTTAAGTCAAGTAATAGATAATTCAAATTAATCCTTGAAAATTTGTTGGAATTTATTTTATGAAAAAGTCAATTCTTATAAATATCTGTGTGTGTGAAATGTATATTCTCCATTTATTGGGGTCTATTTAATTAAGCTGCTCAATTGGCCCCTATTTTTATTGATTTTTTAATGTTTGGCTTGATGTATTAATACCTATATGAGATGTATTCAAATATTTAATTATTATTTTATTTTGTCAGTGTTTGATTTAAAATTTTTGAAGTTGAGTAATTAAGTGGATACAAGCTTAGACTTTAAAAAACAATTCATTTGATTGGGGGTTCTTACAGCTCTTATCACAATCCATATGTCCATCCATTGTGTTAAGCACATTTATACATATATTGCCATCATCATTTTCAAAACATTTCTTTCTATTTGACCCCTTGGTATAAGCTCATCATTTTCCCCCTCCTTACCCTAACCTCTTTCCCTCCCTCATGAACCCTTGATAATTTATAAATCATTAATTTTTTCATGTCCTACACCGAACACTGTCTCACTTCACTCACGTTTCTGTTGTTCAGACCCCTGGAGGGGGTGATTATATGCTGATCATTGTGATTGGTTCTCCCCTTTTCCCCCACCTTCCCCCTACCCTCCTGGTATTACTATTCTCATTATTGGTTCTGAGGGGTTTATCTGTCCTGGAATTCCTGTGCTGCGAGCTCTAATTTGTACCAGTGTACACCCTCTGGTCTAGCCAGATTTGTAAGGAAGAATTGGGATTATGATAGTGGTGGGGAGGAAGCATTAAAGAACTAGAGGAAAGTTGTATGTTTCATTGGTTCTATACTGCACCCTGCCTGGCTCATCTAAGCAGAATGAACATTATGTCAGGATATGTCCAGTTGTCTACAGATGGGCTTTGCGTCCCCACTCTGCCCTCTCCCTCATTCAACTAATATGGTTTTTTGGTCTGGGTCTTTGATGCCTGATACCTGATCCCATTGACACCTCATGATCAAACAGACTGGTGTGTTTCTTCCATTTGGGCTTTGTTGCTTCTCAGCTAGATGGCTGCTTGTTTATCTTCAAGCCTTTAAGACCCCAGACGCTATATCTTTTGATAGCCGGCACCATCAGCTTTCTTCACCACATTTTCTCATGCACCCATTTTGTCTTCAGCGATCATGACCAGAAGGTGAGCATCACAGAATTCTGAGTTATTAGAATGAAGTGCTTTTGCATTGAGAGAGTACTTATGTAGAGGCCCAATGTCTAAAGCTTAGACTTTTTTAACTTCTCTGTAAATTGAAACTTTTATTAATACATTAGAATATTTCACATCTTCTCAATATTTTAGGTGGACAACTATTTTTTTATCATATTACTATAACTATACAGCTTTCTTTGCTTGGTACTTACAAAGATTAAATAATGTTTAATTTTCTGGTCCTTTATCATTTAACTGTGAATTTTGTTAACAGAAATTGTTGATATTTTTTCTTTGAATCTTTGTCTTCTCACTGGAGTATTTGGATTGTTTGCATTATTTTTTATTATTGATATTTGATCTGATTTTCTGCTTTATTTAAACGTATTCATTTGTTTATTTACTTATATATTTCAATATTATTCTTTTTTTGTTAATGCACACTCTTAATAATATACGCCAAACCCTCCCATACACACACACACACACACATTCATATTTCTCCTCTAAAAATATAGAAATTATGCACTCTCTAGTCTATCTGGGATGGACAAATCCTCCCAGTCAAGGACCTGCCCCAGATTTCCCACATAACTATGAATTTTTGGTATTTTATCTGGGTTTTGTTTGGCTTCATTTTTATTTTTTACTTCTAGGAATCATCACATGTGTTAGGTTAAGTTCTATAGATAAACAAAAGCCAGTGAGATATATACATTTCACAAAGAAAGAAAATATATCAGAAAGTTTCTCATATATTCGTAGAAGAGGGTAAATCCAGTTAGATTTAAGTCCATTGGTCAGATATTAAGTTGAAGGGTTTTTCTGACTCACATAGTTGCTGCATCCGATGAACCTGGAAGTAGGAAGAAGAAGCAAGAAGATCACAGCTGGGAAATGCAGACACCAGTGATTCTGAGGTCAGTAGGTCAAATGGAAAGCTGTGATGGTTCCCAGCATCAGCAGGTAATATGGCAGGCCATTGGCTCAAGTCCAAAGAACCAAAGGTCGATGAGCCAGAAGCAGAATCCAAACCAACAAGAAAAGAAGATGTTTTCCACAGCATGTATTTATATAGAGAGAGTAGGCTACAGCCCTGAAAATACATCATCAGGGATGTAACCTCATTAATGGGTTATGCTCCACCCTAACCTACCCACAACTACTTGGATACTCACAGCAAATCTAATGAGTTATTTACATTATGATAAGTCTCATCATGATAAAGTCACAACTGCAAAACTACAGAGAATCCTGGCTCAGCCAAGTTAACTTTGTACTTTCCTATCAACTAAAATATGAACCAAATGTGGTAAGGTTTGGTATACACAACTTTATTGTGAACTGTAAATGGTTTGAGGATAATTTTTCATATTGTTTGCATTAGACACCAAAACATATGAGGGAGTACTCAAGAAAAACTGATGCTCATTTGTTTTTTGGTTGTTTTTGTTTTTTCATGTGAGGGGGATAGTGCATTCAAAGTTCTATCCACCAGGTCAGACTGTTAATCAAGCTTTCTATTTAGAGGTTCTGAAAAGATTGCATAACAGTGTGCAACAAAAAAGGGCCAGATTTGTGGCAGATGGGAGAACTGGTTTTGCCACCATGACAATACACCTGTTCACACAGTCAGCTCAGTGTGCCAGTTTTTGCCAAAAAACACCATGCCTCTCTTGACCCATTCACCTTATTCACCTAATCTCTCCCAGTGCAACTTCTTTTTGTTTCCATGAATGAAGAAGAACAAGAAAGGACAGTGATTTGATGATATAGAAGAGGTGAAGAAAAATGAGGGAGGTGCTGTCAGCCATCCAAATAGATGAGTTTGAAAAATGTTTCCCAGAATGGAATCGCCGGTTTGACAAATACATTAAGTGTAATGCAGAGTACACTGAACGTCATAAGGTTGATTTGTTAAAAAATAAAAATTAAATACATAGCTTTCAAAAAAATTCCAGTGTTTTAGGGAGTATCCCCCTCATATTACCTTGGTTTTCTGAAGTTTAAATCTTGAAAATATTTTTTGCACTACTGCATTGTACCTGGAACTAGCTTATGAAGAGTTTTTATTTAATGTTTTATCTAAATCATTCTCCTTCAGAGTAAATTTCTTATTAAGATATACCTTCAAGAAAATTTTTACATGCACACTGTTAAAGCTCTGGATGGAGGCAAGTCTTGGCCATGAACTTCTGAGTGTCAGCAGTGTGCTACATTAACAGGCAGGCTTTTTGCTATCACCAGTAAAGCCTGCCTCAAGGACTGGAGTTTGATAATACTCG